TCATGAAGAAATAGTAACACAAGTAATAAATCGGAATAATTCTCATCAAACGATCGAAATAATAGCGAATTGTGATTAGAGTCAGTCGTTTGCCACCCGTTTTGTCCACTTGTCGTATAAACCATTTTATTGATGCAATTCCCGCGCATAGTATCGTAACGTCCATAATGTATTTAAATGTTACCTTGCTCCTTATAATTAATATGTATAATTATAAATAATTTACCGAGAATGTGAATATAACTTAAAATACGGATAGTAATTTTCAAAACCACTTTATATTGTAATAAAATAAACAATTTACAGTTTTAAATAATGTTAAATACTATAAATTATAAATAATATAAATCTTATATAATAATACTTCAGTTAAAATAAGTATCTAAATGAGATATAATAATGTACTTCGACTCTACTTTAATATTAATATAAATGCACTATACTTTTCGGAAATTAAGAGTTATGTTAAAGCCGTTTAAAATATATTTAAATAGTAACAAAAGTTAAGCAGTGACATTTGTGACATTCAATAAAAATGTAAAAATAATACAAACCAGCCCCGGTATAAACCATATATATCGCTACTATTTATATACTCGACGTTATCCTTGCGGTAGAGAAATATAGTGCCGACGAAGTGGTGAATGAATGACAAGAAGTGAGCCATAGCTCGGATGCCATCGAACAGCGCATACCTATCGTCCGGAATATTCTGGTCTCCAATCGACTTATTCTTAGTGTTTACACGAATCGCGTGTTTATAGACATACGGCTGAGACATACAGTTCCACACGTTGTCGCAAATACTCTGGTTATTAGTATTTGTTTTATTTTGTGTTTTGAAACACAGTTGTCGTATTGTGGCGTATATTACAAGTAAAGACCATATAATTATAATACCAACAAATATAAATATATCAAACATTTTTATTAAATAAATTAAAATTTATTAGAATAATACTGAATTTCTATTTTTGAATATTAAATTCAATACAAAACGTGAAGTTATATTAAGTTAAATAGCTCATTATTATTATAATGAGTTTATTAATTGAATACTTTATTTGTTGTATGTTTATACGAATAAAGAAATTTCAAATCAAATTTTAAAATATAATTCCTAGTATTTAGTAATTATTATCAATTTGACTAACAAATTTAATACGAAATATATAAGTGTGATGATTGTCTATAATTTATGGAGATTGTAACACTTATAATAAATAAATATTATCAACAACATTTAATATAATAATTAAACAAATTAAAATTAGTCAGTAACATCTAAATTAACTTAAATCGTGATAAAACATTTTATTAAACAAACATTTATTGAGAAAATTATTATTAGAATAATCTACTAATTAATTATATTGCTTACAGTTCTAGCATGATTCATTTTCTGAGAAAAATCAAATAAGCAATTATAAATAATTAATGATTTTATTTTTATGTTAACATTTTTATTAATGTTTATGAAAAAAGATTTGATAAAGTAAGAAACAACTAATACTGTAATTAGCAAAATATATAAAAATTAATTATATGTTGTAATAAGGCATATATCTAAATAATGGAAAAGTGTAAAAACATCATACATTTGACGTTAGCAAGGTGAATCTTAAAATGTTATTAAGTTTTATTTTATAAATATTTCTCATTTAAATCTATACTAAAAATATATTTGTTATCCACTCTTATAGCAAATCTTATAAATAGTAGAAATAATAGACAAAAAGAGTTGTACAGTTTATGGAATCAAATGAATCACAATTATTGACAATTATATGAATTAATGCCAAACTGCTTATATTATGCAGAATAAGTATGTTTAAAACCATTACATTCATTAACACTGTCCTCCCACCCCCTAATATGTAATATAATGATATATAGATACACAAATACAGAGGTCGCTGTGTTTGGAAAGGGCTAAGAATATTATTTGTAAATATCGGGTGTCCTATCGTATCAGTACGACTTTTAAATTAATTTTAAAATATTTACAATTATATTTTGCTAACAAAAACTATACCAAAATGTTGGAATTAAAGAGATGGGGTATTGTTTATTATATTACATGTCCAGAATATGCTAGTGTATATTTACAATTTTTGATTTAAGTAACTTGATAAGTAAAATTTTCCAATTAGAATAATATCTTAATTTTATTGAAATCAAAATATATAAATTTTGATATATAAAATTTGTAAATATTTTGCTTAAATCATCGATCAAAATGTAAACTAGGCTAAAATATTTTACAAACATTGTATTGAACTAACAGTATCACTTGGTTTCGATAGTGTCCAGCTCAGTGTTGCCTAAGCTCCCGGTGCCACTGTCCAGCTTTGTCCTGCTTAACCTACTGTTCGTTTTACTGTACCTTAGAGTGGGCTTCAGTTTAATAGTGAAGGCATTCTTGAGAGAGAGCTGAAAGCAAGTGAGGGGACACTCGAAGAGGACGGCGAACGCAAAGCCCAACAAATATGAGAAGAGGAGTGTATAGCAAACCAGTGCCCAAACACTGGACGGGTAGCTGTCGGGCAGTTGTCGTCGCGACGCCCAAAACGACCACACGATCCAAATGTGCGTCAAATACACGGAATACGTGAGCCGTGAGAGTGCTGTGAAGGCCGACCACGAAAGGAAACGGTCGACGAGACCTCCGTTTCCCGACAAACACATCCAAATGACGGCACACGTGCTCAGCGCCCACACCACGCGAGTGGTCGGGTAGAGGGCGGCGGCCACCCATCGGTTGTTGGGCGCGCCTGACGTCCAGTAATAGGTGTCGTAAATGGCGATCACGTATCCGACGACTATCGCCGACCACACGCACCACTTCTGTGGCTACGGAAATAATAAAATTAGGTTACCGGCCTAAAATCATAAAATAATAAAATGGCCGGGGTACCTGGGTCAGTGTAACCAAGGACTGTTTGTTTTTGTACAAATAATAGCCAAAACCAAGGCCAATGAAGTAGACGGATACGTGGGGCCAAGGTTTATAATACACGCTCGGAAGCCATTCGTTCATATAATAGGCGCTAATTCACAATTAAATACACCATTGAATACAAAAATATGATAAAATGATTGATAAATATCAATATACTAATCCGGGCCACACTTAATGACATAATATTGAACATTTTAACATTAGACTAATACATTCATTAGACAGACTTATTTTTCATAATGGCGTCGATACTAGTATGTCCCTTATTAAATAATGACGTAATATTGAACATTTAAACATTATTCATCAGACTGATCAGTACGTCCCGGATCATATTATATCAAGTAATCACCCGATTTGAGTACTGACGCGACCCGGAGTGAAGTCCATCACAACTATTAGCGTCGAGACGAACGCAATCGACGCCAATATGAGCGCAAAGTTAACAATCAGACCATAACTGGGTTTCTTGAGGAGGGCCGCCATCACCACGAGTGACAACACGTGGAACTGCATGTCCACCGACAGGAACCACGTGCTGCCGACGCACTGTTTGCATCACCGCAAATCACATACACACACATGTAAGCGGACAGTTAGTATAGTCGTAGGGATTTCGTACTTTTTCTCTCACCATATTCTGTGCGTCGATTAAGTTATGCAGAAACAAGAGGTTATGCCACCAATTCGTATAACACGTGCCGAACCTATCGGACATGTATTGGTTCCAAACGGGACCGTTGCCCGCGAGGGGCACCAGAGTTGTCAGCAAAATAAAGACAGCCATTAGTGGCAACAGTCGTACCACCCGTTGCCAGATATATGCCTGCGGTTCAAAGTTTTGTAACTTTGCTTTCGTGTGCTTTAGTGTCGTATATGAGGCCAAAAGTCCGCTGTTTTCGGGCGATAAAAGGGTTTTCTATTATTGAGGTCTGATTTGTTGGGCATTCACTATACCTGAGTAGAAAGAAAGTCTCGACAACGGTATGCGCTTTAGTGGTGGGAATGGTGTGCCACACGTTCAACGCATCCTTCAGTTTGAATGTGTCCTCTGTTTCACAATTAATAAACACAATATATAAGACGCCAATAGTTGAAAGGTTCTTCCGTTTTATACTTCAGACTGTAATCAATGCATTATTAAGTTAAATGCTATAATCATACAATACATCATTTTATTATAACATTAAATTCAATACTGTATTTATTACAGTCTGAAGTATAGTATAGAAGACCCTTTCATCGGGACTGACTAAATTGCCCGATGAAATGTCGTTCAATTAAGGTTTTAATGACTAATTCACTCACTATTATAAAAACTAACCAGGTTATAATGTCTAGTTCCTGTCAGTTTAGTCAAAATTACATTATTATGGTAAAAATTATGTAATATATATAATCGTTGATACATTGGTACGGTATAATAAACAGTATTGGTCAATTAGGTCATTAGTTGAATAATTGTGGTCATTACTAGTCTAATAACCCATAAATTTATTTAACAAGTTTTGTGCGCCTGTTGTGTATACTTAACTATATAGAGACCAATCGGTGTATTCAATGGCATGGGTGGCCACGATGTAGACCATTGCGAGCACTCGTATGCCGTCGACGCACGAGAGCTCCGGCTTCTTGTCGGTGGCCATCATTTTGATGGCGTTTTCCGTCAGTGAGAAAGCACTCAACAAACGCCGAGAATTGGGAAAATCTGAAACAAAGATAATGTCGGTGTCGAGATATGATAATTTATAAACGAGATTTCATTGTTACCATAAGTTCAAGTTTTGAAAAATTGTGCATGTCATAATTTTTATTATTGCAAAAATCACCTTATTGCCATTCGAAACTCAAG